AAGGAACGGCAGCCAAAATCTTGCAGCAGATGATGCTGGTTCCTCCTCTTCTGGCATCCTCTCCATTCTGTGTTATCCAGGAACGTTAACATGCATTCAGGGTGGGATTTGCTTTCTTCTGCTGTACCAGATGCTGGCAGCAAGACAGGCATATTTCAGGTGCCGAGTGAATTCTGCCATCCTGCTCAGAGCAGTGTCAAATTCAGCATCTCAGGTGTTCAAAGACACTGCTGGGAAATGCAGATAACCAGGATTATTTAAGAGAAGTGGTAAATTTCCCTCGGACATAGGTATGGGAAAAGCACATCTACCATTTTGGTCACACCTAGCTCAGTACCTTGTGTTCAGCCGTGGTGAGTAATGGATACTTAATGAGAAAGTATGAGAGAGGGGTATTGCTGATTGGTAATCTGCCAATCTGGGAGACAGCCCTGCAGGGAGAGCCCACAAAGCACAGAAATTCAGTGAGATGTCAGGGTTTATGGATTTTGTCATTTAAAAGGAAAAGCCAAGTTTGATGTTCAGTCTAGCACCACCTTTGCTAACGATAAACTGTATTATACAGTCTCTACAACAGAAACTTTACAAGAGAGTGGATTGTTAGGAGCTACTTACATTAATAAAACAAAGGAATTTGGTAAAGGATTGTCAACACCTTCTTTATTCTGCTTTTAAATGTTTCTAGCCTTGACACATGCAGCTTTGCATATGAGGAAGAGCTGGAGCTGGATCAGTGTGAAAGAGAGGAAGGAGATCTTTAATGACCAAAGTTTAGAGCAGACCGGGAGCTGCAGGAGAAAATGGGGGATATAAAGTGTCCAGTTTTCCCAGAGAGTGAAACGGAACACGGTGTGGGTCCCAGCTAACTTCTGGGCCACAAAAAAAGGAGTAGGGATTGAGAGCACAGAAAACGTTGAGACCTGCCAGACTTCAGGCCACGGGTCCGACCACCCCCAGTCTGTTCAGATGCCTGCTGTGACACACTTCCCAGGCAGCCTGCTGCCAAAGGAATGAGCACACTCTCCAACAATCCAACTTCATTTCCTTCTGGTATCCTCTCATATTTACACACCAACCTTGCCAAGCCGTGCTCAGCCCAAACAGTCCCTCTGAAATAAAAGGAAAAACAAAAGAATTCTTACAGCCTGTACAGCACCTTCCTGCCTGCCTGAAACAAAAGAAAAATAAATTGTTCTGAGGGCTCTTCTTTCTCTTCTTTCTTGGTCGCTTACCGTTTCACAAGCTAATGAAAGCCAGAGGCTGTGGGAGTGATGGGATTATCATCACTGAGTGAATTTTTCATGTCTTTCTCTGCAGTTCGTGAAGCAGGGAAGAGAAGAAGGGAATGTACCTGGTTGAAGGGCTACAAAGGGTGACATGTTCCTTGATGTTCCTTTCTAAATGTGGCTCTGAGTCACGCTGAAGAGATGATTAGAAAAATTACCTTCCTGCAGTGGAAAGGCAGAAGAGTCTCGTTCAGTGTTCGCTTCTCCAGCCCTGACTCTGAGCTTGCCTGAGCCTGTGGCAGGAAGGGGATTGGTGAGCTGGCTGGAAAGCCACTTGTGCTCCTCTCAATCATAGAAACTGTGAAGAGGCTGCAAGAGCAGCCACAGGAACAGCTCGAAACGCACACCTAAGGGTACAAGCAGCTGCAGTCCCACAGAGCAGCATGTATGGTCTTGCATCTGCCTCCGTCACACGAGTTCCTACATGTGCCGGGTCAAACGGGGCCAACACAGTCCTTCCCCCTCGGTTTCCTCCCCTGCTTGATGCGTCTCCAAAGCTGCACCCCAAAACCTGCTCCTCTGAAACAGAGCTACAAACGGGGCACATCCAACCCTGCGGCGTGCGGGACCACGGGGTGGAACAGGTCTGGAGGCAGGATGGCAGCGATCATCGAGGGAGGGAAGCCCTGGAAGAGCCACAAAACACAGCTGGATGGTTTGAACTGACGGGAGCAGTGTGAGCTGGACCACCAAGAAAAGCTATTAAAGGTGTATGTTGTCCCGGAGAAAGCCGGTGGGGATCACCACAGCTGTGCCAAAGAGGCAGCTCAGCACAGTGGTGGCTGCCACGACCCCTCGTGTGTCCTCGGGCTGTGGCCACCAGCACCGACCCCAGCTCAGCTCCTGGGGTTTCACCCTCAGCCCAAAACCCCCCAAATCCCTACAACAACCTACTGCCCTCGGCAGAGAAGTGCCAGCCATGATAGCGATTAACGTGGTTTATTGGGGGTTAATGACATTTCCGCAGGTTTGGGAACACTGTTAATGTAGTGCTTCATCCCTACACCTTAAACCTACACCTTAAACCCGCTCCCACGCTGAGGACCTGTGTGGTTTTATCTCCTGCTGTTCAAATCACAGAATCATTTAGGCCTCTAAAATCAAGAGAATTAGAGGAAAAAACGGAAAAAAAAAAAAAAAAGCCCATGAGGCCACATCGTTTCAGCGGTACCTCCGGGCTGGAGGAGGGGAGAGAAATGTGGCGATTTCTGAGGGGAAAATGCAGATTTAATTACATCAGGTGTGCTGAGGGGCGGGAACACACTAAGCGGCAAAAGCCAGCATCGGTTTCTCAGCAAACGCTCGACTTAAAACCGTTAAAAATTCCGACTGCTGTTTTATATATAGGAGGAGAAGGGGAAAAAAAACAAACACCAAGCGACCGCCCTCGGCGTTATTCAACATCCAACTGCCGCTCGTGAGGCGGTGCCCGGGGCCGGATGAGGGGCGGGCCGAGCGCCCTCAGCCCGCCGAGAGCTGCAGTCCCGGCGCGCCGCCATCTTGGCGCCGCCTCAGCACAGCCCCTGGGGGCGCCCCCGGCCGCCATTTTGGGGCGGGGGGCGAGACCCTCATCGGGCAGGGGGGGAGGCTTGGTTTTAGTAAATTAATTAGTTTTGAATTAAAACCCACTAAATTGTTGTCGTGGTTTAACCCCAGCCAGCAACCAAGCACCACGCAAGCCGCTCGCTTACTCCCCCTATCAGGGGATCAGGGATAGAATCAGAAGAGTAAAAGCTGGAAAACTCGTGGGTTGAGATAAAGACAGTTTAATAGGGAAAGCAAAAATTAAAAGCAAAAGCCATGCATACAAGCAAAGCAAAACAAGGCTTTAATTCACTGCTTCCCATGGGCAGGCAGGGGTTCAGCCATCTCCAGGAGAGCAGGGCCACATCACAAGTAATGGTTACTTGGGAGGACAAACAGCATCACTCCAAACATCCCCCTGCTTCCTCTTCTTCCCCTCACTTTAGATACTGATCATGGTGTCATATGGTCTGGAATATCCCTTGGGCCAGTTTGGGTCACCTGTTCTGGCTGTGTCCCCATCCCACACACTCCCGGCCCCCTCCCCAGCGTGGATATATGAAAGCAGAAAAGGCCTTGGCCCTGTGTAAGCCCTGCTCAGCAGTAACAAAAACATCACTATAGTATCAACCCTGTGTTCAACACAAATCTAAAACACAGCCCCACACCAGCCACTGTGAAGAAGATTAACTCTACTCCAACCAAACCCAGCACAATCATTCACAAAGGGCAGCCCAGTGGGTGCTGTGGGGGCACTTTGTGGGGGCTCTGGCCCTGCTCATGGGCATTGTGCTGGTGTTGGCTTTGTGTCCACTCTACGGTCGTGTTTAGCTAAATAAAGGGCAGATTTTCCCATAAAAGTCTCTCCCGAAGGCCCTTTGGTGCCGTGCCAGCCCACCCCAGAGGATGGGGGAGTTCTGGGTGTTGTGCTGAGTCTCCTGGTGCCCTCGTGGCTGGGGATGCTGTGAGCGCTTCTGAGGGAAGGACTGAGGGGCTGTGAGGGTGTGCAGGGAATTTGGGCTGTGAGTGACGTGGGTGGTCAACAGAACCTGGATTGGGCGAAGAACTGGGGGAATGTGAAGGCTGGATATCAGGAAAAGGTTCTTCCCCCAGAGGGTGCTGGGGCACTGCCCAGGCTCCCCAGGGCAGTGGGCACGGCCCCAAGGCTGCCAGAGCTCCAGGAGCATTTAGACAATGTTCTCAGGGGCAGGGTGGGATTGTTGGGTGTCCTGGGCAGGGCCAGAAATTGAACACAATGATCCTTGTGGAACCCATCTCAGGATATTCCATGACTCCATGCAGGTCCCTGGGTAGCAAAGTCAGCGAGTGCTGTCAGCCTGCCCTGGAAGGTGCAGTAATTCAGCACTGCTACAGTCAGGACAAGGCAGGTGTTGGGCTGTGAGGCTCAGCCAGAGCATGTGAAGGGATGGAGGGGGCATGGCATTAGGGGGATGTGTTTAAAAGAGCTGCAAATGGAAACAGGGCTTGTCCTGGGGCTGTTGGATGCTCTGCTTGGTGTCCTCTGGCAGTGGAACTACTCCTAATGTTCTTCCCAGAGCCTGCTCTTGCCTGACAGAGAGAAGGTGACTCCTTCAAACAGCAGAAGAAATAATTTACGGTGATCATCAGACTGCAACTTCAGGTATTGTTCAGTTCCCCAAGTGTTTAGTGAGGGAAATTTCAAGGACAAGCACTCAAACTCAGAGAATGCCTTGAGCCTGAACTTGGTATCTAAATCTGAGCTCTGTTATGTGTTATACTATCACAGATTATAGCTAGTTCCTTAACACCAGGGCTTATTTTTACAGCAAAAAACCTGCTGTCTCTATCCTGCATCTTTTTATAACATAAATTTGGCTACGTCTTAAGCACATGATTGATTGATTGATTGATTGATTTTATGCATGGCTCTATTTTGGAGAATTCTAAAAGGATTCTTCCCTTTTCTCCATTAGCCTCATGCCATTATTCCGAGAAGCCAGGCCATCCCCACAGATCTGCTGGGCTGGTTAATTGCTCTGCACACACAAACGGGTGCTAATCAGCTTTCTTTCAAGCATGTGTTCATATGTCAACACTTTTGCTTCTGTCAGAAGCTTAAAAATGGAAACAGTTTTCTCTTTAAGAAAACAGGACCCAAATAAGGAGATGGTGGAGTGGTGAAGATTCCTCTAGTGAGCCTGTTCCAGCTCATTCCTTAGAAAGGCTGTGGATGGAAGATCAGAGAAGGGGCCAGTAGATCTGGGATTTGTCCAGGGGTCTCTGGGTTTAAAGATCTGTACAAACCGCTTGAGCTCATTTTCCCTGTGGCTTGCCAGGGTACAACTTCTTTCTCTGCCCAAGCTGTTAAAAATCTAAAATTTCACTCATCAGATTCTTTCAGTTGCGTGACAGATCCAACCCAGCCTTGAGCAAAAATGGAAGCTATCAAGAAAAAGATGCAGATGCTGAAGTTGGACAAGGAGAATGCCATTGACAGAGCAGAGCAGGCTGAGACGGATAAAAAGGCAGCTGAGGACAAATGCAAGCAGGTAAGTGGAAATAAAATCACTGGCTGTGTGTGTGCTGTGAAAATAAGTGTCACAAAATACTGTGCTGCAATTTTCTGATTCAGAAAGCAAAATAATTTGAAGTCAGGTTTTCTGTTAATCTTCTTTTGAAGTTTTTTTGCCTTTTTGTTACGCTTATACAGCCAGGTCTAGGCAGTAACTTGTCAGCCATCTCAGTCTTTGCAAAATTAACATCATCCTCAGATTTATTAGCAGTACTTTGTCTAAGTTTTCTTAAATCTTACATAATTGCCTTAATTTTCTTGTGCTTTTGATTCCATGGAAAAGGCCTTTACTTACTCAAAATCAAAGCTGCAAACCTTGACACCTGTAGGACTACTGCTAATAGAGTCAACTGTGTCTAAACATTAATTAAGCCTCTCCTTGAAGCAAATTAATAAAGTTCACTTCAAGTCCTTGGTGCACAGAGTGCCCCTTAGAGGTGCCAACTAAGACTCAACAGTAGATATATATGTTCTGTCATTTTTTGTCAAGAAGAATCAAAAATATCTTAATTTGGATGCTCTGCTTTTAGCTGAATTTTAATGATAACATTTTCAGTTCTTTTGCTTTTCAATGTCTTTATTCTGGGTGTCTGCCTGCTATTTGAGCTTTGGTATTTTCAGAACAATCTTGAAATGTAAGTTGACTACACTCAAGTTTTTACAGCACTCCTTGTAAAATTACCACCTTTCCCTTTTACATTCTCTAAATGTGGCTGCTTCTACTACATCTTCCAGACTGCTTTAATATGTTATTAGCACTCATTTGGCCTGATATTTCTTTTTCTTTAGAAAAATAAATCTTTGATCTTACTCCTCTTTTCTGAATTGTCTCAAAATTTTCAGCTTTTTTTTTTTATGTGGGCACAGTACTCAAGTAGTGATTTTAATATTCATACACAAAGCCAGCATCACCTTCATCCTGCTGCTCACTGTCCCTCTGTTAGAGCACCCAAGCAAAGTTTCAGTTCTCTCACACTCTCTGGTTACTCTGAGTAAAACTATTGCAACGTAACAACGTTCCAGAATAGCACACTACCAAAAATGTCTTCATCATTGAAACTAAAATGAAGGAAGTGCACCAAAACACAAACTATTTTGATAGACTAAATTTCTGTGAAGGTGGAGCTAAACAGATAAATCAGCTCCTCAGCAGACTGAGCTGTTTTGAGTTGCAAATGAAGGGATGGAGCAGATGGGTTTGCAGGCCCACCCTTATCAGCAGCCAGCCTCTGATAACGTGAATTCTTCAGGGAGCATGAGACAGTTTGTCATTAAACAGTCTCCCAGCAGGTTATAAATAGCACCATTCTAGTGAATAATATGGATTTATATGGTATGGAGGAGTCTGAGCCTCATGGTAGGATGGAGCATATCTTGCACAGTTAGGGAATAATCCAGGTTGGAAGGGACCTCCCGAGGTCACCAGGTCCCTTCTGCAGCAGGGCCAGCCCTGTTCCCTCCCACTTCCATTTGAGTTGAAGTGTCCTGAACCTCACACAAAGGTGATTAGGGAACCACCACTCATTTTTTCCAGCTGTACAGGAATTGAATAGTTTCCTGATAAATCACCAAGTCTGGGAACAAACACAGGGACATAATTTAAAAACATTTATATTTATGCTGCAAAACTGATTGTTGCAGAGTGTCCAAAATAAAAATGTGGTGAAAAAGGGCTTATACCAAGTTATATATTAAACCAGATCCCACGTGTGCAGTGTCAGAGAATGTTCTTCAAGGGTGAGATGTTTTTAGTGATCTTTCCCTGGCAACTGCTACCAGTCATTCTCAGACTGTTGTCCCCAGCAGAACTTTGATCTGGTCTTTTGTGACTCTTTGTACGTTATATTGAGTCAAACTAATAGTAAAGAGAGGTTTTATCATATTAAACTGTATCTGATACTACATCAGGATGCTCACTTTGGGGGGTTTCTCTCTTGAAAGGTAGAGGACGAGCTGGTTGCTCTGCAAAAGAAGTTGAAAGGAACTGAAGATGAGCTGGACAAGTACTCGGAGGCTCTCAAAGATGCCCAGGAGAAACTGGAGCAGGCTGAGAAGAAGGCCACTGATGTATGTACCCACTTCCCTGTAACTCTGCTCTGTGTATTTTGTAGGTGCTACACTGTTATAGGAACGACTGAGAATTTCCATACTGCAGCACTTGGCTGAGGATAGAAAGGCAGGGGTGTGGTGCGGGGATTTTATCTCCTCTCCCCTCTGCCGGAGGGAGCCGGAGCTGTTCTGCACCGAGCCCAGGGCACACGCAGCTGCCACTCGGGGCTCGATGGACACCCAGAGGAGAACTGATGGCACTGAAACGGGGGGAAGGGGTGCTGTGGGCGGGAATTCTTTAGGAAAGCTGAAATCTCCTTTAATCGAGTAAACAAAATCATGATCTTTGCGGGAAGCCGGGACAGCAGCAGGGCTCCAGCTGTGGCGTAAAGATGCCCTTTGCCTCCATCCCAAGGGGTTAAAGAGCAGCCCCGCCACACCTCGGCCGGCTTTGGCAGCGACGAACCGCGGGCAGGGCCCGGCAGCGGCGTCACCAACCCCGAACCCCCCTTCTTTGGGACCGGGAGGTGGGGCCGGGGAGCGCGGCCGCGGGGGGCTGCATCCCCCCGGCTCGGGGATGGGGATGGGGATGCGGATGGGGATGGCGATGCGGATGGGGACGGGGGCAGGGACAGGGACAGGGATGGGGCGGACGGGCGGGACTGTCCCGGCCCTGCCTGCGCCGACTCCCCGGTGCTACGTCACCAGCTCTACCTCCACCTCCAGCCGCGTGACGTCATCGGGCCATTGAAAGGCGCGGGGCCGCCACGTGCAGCACCTCCTGCCCAGCCCGCCGCCCGCGCCCATGGCCGCGCCGAGCTCCCTGGAAGCCGTCAAGAGGAAGATCCAGTGCCTGCAGCAACAGGCGGATGAGGCGGAGGATCGCGCCCAGGTCCTCCAGCGGGAGCTGGACCTGGAACGGGACCTGCGGGAGAAAGTGAGACCGCCCGGGGCTGCCTGCTCGCCTTCTCTCGGTCGCTCTCTTCCCGGGCTGCTCCTTCCTTCCTGTCTCTGGCTCTCTCTCGCTGGGGCGCGCCCGGCTCTCCCTTGCTGCGGGAGGACGGCTCGGCTGCCTCCATCCCCGGGCTGTTCCCGCTCCGCACGCTCGGCCCGCGGGAGCCGCCGGCGCTGCCGCAGCGCCGCGCCCGCCCCGTCCCGTCCGGTCCCGGCCCGGGGGGAACCGGGCGCGGCCCCGGCGCCCGCTGCTTCTCGCGCTTTGGGGCCGATCCCTGCGGAAAAGGGACACCCATCGGCCACGGGTTCGAGCTCCCGTGGGCACCGGGGAGCGCTTGGGAGTTTAGTAGGAAATGGCTGTTTAATTAGGGAAAAGCGCTGCATGACACGGAGCGGGGAGTTCCCGCCTCTCGGCGCCGCACCGCTGGCTCCGGCACAGCTGGGGAATGTCCGAACTGCTGCAAAATAACTTTCCCTCCTGGTTTTCTCACAGAGAAACGCGAACTCTCCACTAGCGTGCGGCTCTCCCGGGGCTGGACAGCTGGTTTCACTTAGATTTGTGTGTAATCAGCCTTCCCGGCATCTTCCTGCTATTTTATCACATGTCAGCGAGTTAGTTTTACCGTATAAGGACTGCGGGCTGCTGCTGGGAGAGGTGGAGCCAGGCTCACCCCAGCTTCCCAGTGGCCCCGGCTCCAGAGCTTTGGAATCTTGCTGAATTAAAATATGACTTAAAAGTGCCCTGTCTAGAGGAAGGAGTTGCTGCCACAGAACAGATGCCAGTTTTGTACATGATCGATGCCTTGTGTGTAAATCGAGAAAGTTAAACACAGCACTGGGTAAAAAACAAATGAAATGTTGGATAATTTATGACTAGAGGAATCCTGGGTCAGCTTCCATTTGGATCAGACACTGAACTCCTTTCCAAGATGGCTCAGCTGTGAATGGAAACCACTTCCTCCAGCTTAGGAGTGGTCAGTGACCAAATTTGCAAAGCTGCAGCAAAACACTTTTTTTTTTTCAAAGTGTTTTAACATAAAGCATAAAACAATCACCCTTCCAGGGTCTGTAGCCCATAAAAGTGTTTTTTTAAAAAAAGTTAATCTTAGATATGGCAATCCTTCTCAGATTTAGGGACAATAAAGTGCGCAAACCTGGCAGTTATGAAAGCAGGGCTTTATTTTTCTTCAAAAACAAGCAGTTAAAGGAGCCGTTTCTCAATAAACACATATTTATGGACACCAGTTTGTCCATGTTGTCTGTATCAGGCCTTTCTCCCAGCAATCTCTCCATTTAAAAGTTAGTCTATTTTTTATACATTAATAGCACTCCAATTACTGAGCAGTTTATTCAGTAATATACAAACAATCCTTATCAAGAAATGCTTTCCGCCTAATTCCTTAAGTAGCACAGGAAGCAAAGTGAACTTATTTTAAGAACATATCTAATTTTGCCCCAAAAAAGCCTGACTCTGCCATGTTGAGGCCAACTGTCAGGCCCAGCTGACCATGAAGATTCTTCAGTGTTTGCAGGCTCAGGAGCCAGGATGGAAAAGGAACTGGCTCAGACCTCAGCAGTGGGTTGTGACTGTGGTCCAGGATGGAACCAAGGGCAGAGAAACCAACAGTGAAGGTTTTGGAACTAAGCCATTATGGGAACAGTTCATTTTTTAACTGTGGATAGATTCAGCCTGGTAAAGTGATCCAAAAATCCTTCGATCCTTTGGCAGTCCTGCCCTTTGTTGTGTGGCAGGAATGATAAGTACCATTGAAAAAAAGGAAGGACAAGCACACAGCTCCATACCTTGACATTCCTGAGATGCCACAGTTTAAGCAAACAAAAAGCAGAGGCAGAAGGGCCCCTGGAGCTCCAGGGAGATGCCATTGCAGTTTTCAGGGAATTGATTAGTTGGGAAGGGTTTCCAGCAGCCAGTGGCCTGTGTAACCCCGGTCTGGGTGGTTGTTTCACAGGCTGAAGGGGAGGTGGCAGCTCTGAACAGACGCATCCAGCTCGTGGAAGAGGAGTTGGATCGTGCCCAGGAACGATTGGCCACAGCCCTGCAGAAACTGGAGGAGGCTGAGAAAGCAGCAGATGAGAGCGAGAGGTACGTCCCTTTGGGACTTTCTTTGGGTAAAAAATTTAATATATATGAATAAGATATTCCTGTATAATTTAGTATCTGCAGGTCAGAGATTCAGAACTTCTTTATAAGCTTGAGTGAGTAATTCCTTTAGCCTTGAAGAACGTGGATGGTCGTAATGGGTCATTTCTGGGTTACAAATATTAAATTCCACTTCAGGACCTTTGAGATAGAAGTGCTAAAATGCTTCTACATTAAACATGCTTTGACTTCTGCAGGGGAATGAAAGTTATTGAGAACAGAGCAATGAAAGATGAAGAGAAAATGGAGATTCAGGAAATGCAACTGAAGGAGGCCAAACACATTGCCGAGGAAGCCGATCGCAAATACGAGGAGGTAAAAGGGAGAAGGAAATGGTGAAACGTTCAGGAGAGCTCTGAACAACAACTTCACTCCCCACTTGAGTTCCTCTTTGTGCACTTGTTGATGCCCCAACCTTGGAACATTCCCAACAAGGAGGAGTTTTAATAGTGACTTTGCAGCATCCTAATGCTAAAAGCGCTGCAAAATCTGAACTAATTGGGAAGTCTGTTATGTCTGGGGGGGTGTGATTTATTCTAATTTCCTCATTCCAAAGGTAGCAGGAGTGTAGTGCTTTGAGAGAAATCTGTAAGGAAGCTGCCCCTGCAAAGGGGTACAGTGAGATGATCTTTAAAGTTCTTCCCAACCCAAACCATTTTGGGATTCTGTGAACTACAGACTGGCCTGACAGAGCTGTTGTGTCTTTACAGGTTGCCCGTAAACTGGTTATTTTGGAGGGTGAACTGGAACGAGCTGAGGAGCGTGCAGAGGTGTCTGAAGTGTGAGTAACTGTTTAGAATACACTGAAGGTCACCACTACATTTCATTAGAAAAATCTACTCCTGGTAGGCAGGCATGTCATCAGTACCTGTAGGAAAGCTTGTTGTACATTATATACCCACTTTTCTCCTTTCAGACTTAATTACCTCCTGCCTTGTATGTTTTAGATTCTTTGAAAATTAAATCACACTAGTAATTCATACTTTTATTATCCCTCCATAGTAAATGTAGTGACCTTGAAGAGGAGTTAAAGAACGTCACAAACAACCTGAAGTCTTTGGAAGCTCAATCTGAAAAGGTTGGTTCTTGCAGTAAACTAAGGGGTACAGGCAAAGCCAAAACTTGTAAATAAAATTCATAGAAATAAGCCAGAAATACAAAGCAAGTGAGAGGTTTCAGCTGCCTGGCTGTGGGTCCTGCTCTATCAGTTCTGCCCACACCAGCCTGAAAAGCCTGGGGAAGAGGAGAAAACCACGGAAATGGTGTTTGCAGCTGTTGTAAAAGGAAAAGTGGTTATAAATAGGTCACAGTTTCATAAACATTTATTATTGTTGCTACAACTTCCCTTAAAGAGTGTTTATTGTTTTCACAGTACTCGGAAAAAGAAGATAAATACGAAGAAGAAATCAAGATTCTCTCTGACAAGCTGAAAGAAGTGAGTTTGGCCATCCCCAAACTGTATTTTGGCATCATTTCTTTTAAGAGCATCCAATGACTCTATTTCAACTTTTTTAGGCTGAAACTCGTGCTGAATTTGCAGAGAGAACCGTTGCCAAACTGGAAAAGTCTATTGATGACCTGGAAGGTATGGAATGGCTCAAATTTCTTTAAAAGTGGTTGGTTCCAAATCAGAAAACAAATTCTAGGAGTGAGTGGTGGGTTTTATTGGCAAAGGGCAGCAGCACTCCTCAGGTGTGTTGGTAGATGGGTGTGATGTGTCTCCTGGGAAGTTCTGAAAGAGGTTTTCCTGAAAAAAGTTGGTAACAACAACTGGCTTTTGGCCAACTCAGGGACTCAAGGGCTCGAGATCCCAACCCTACTTAATCTGCTTACTGAAAAAATAATTGTGGGATTGCAAAAAGGAAACGTAGGTGAAGCTCCTGACCGGGCGGCTGTGTGGGTGTTTCGCTTCCCTTCTGATACTCAACCACGCCTCTGTTTTCTTCTCTTGTTTTCCTTCCCAACTGCTTTGGCTGCTGTTGCCTTCTGCCTGTCTCCTCCTCCTGTGGCCTCCTCTCTTCCCTGCATTTTTTGCTGGCCCTGCTGACCGACAGACGAGCTCTACGCTCAGAAGCTGAAGTACAAAGCCATCAGTGAGGAGCTTGACCATGCCCTCAATGACATGACCTCTTTGTGACCTGCCCCTGTGTGGGGGCACAGGGGGGGCTCCCTCTCGCTGCGTTTCTCAAGCTTTTCTTGCCTGTCATCCCTGTCACTCCTGTGCCACTTCCACAAGTGACCCTTCCACCTCTGTGGGCACTGAGCTCAATAAAACACGATACCTCTACCTGTCAGCCTTTGGGGTTTCCTTCCTTAGGACTTACCTAAACTGCACTGGTGACACCACATGTTCAGCTCCTCACACAGGAAAGGGCAGACACAGCCAGGGCAGGTCCTGGCACTGGCAAACACCTCAGTTTTAGTGTTCCCAGGACACAGGTGGCAGCAAAAAGCTTTGAGTGCTTTTGGTGTGTCCTTGTGCTCCATCTGCCTGGTTAAAAAACTCTCGGTGCAAGGAAAACCCAGCAGGATGTGTCCTGTACATCACACGTTAAGTCAGAACACAAGTCTGTCACTTCACAAGAGACACGGCCAAAACCCTCCCTAAATGAGAGCAATTGCCAAAAGATGCTCCAGCTGTAGAGGTGTGTTAAACACGAAGGTAAGTTACCACAGGTTTTATTAAAAGGGAAAAGCTGTAAAATAACATGACTTAAGTTGTGTTTTCCTTCTTTCCCACTAGAAAAACTTGCCCAAGCCAAAGAGGAGAACCTGGGCTTGCACCAGACACTGGACCAGACGCTAAACGAACTGAACTGTATATGAGAGGCAGGGACCTGCCAGTGGCCAAGGAACCGCCCCGTCCCTGCAGCGCTCCTCTCTCCTCCTTTCTCTCTGTATCCTGGGAAAGCCAATTAAGTTATGACCAGCACAGCCACGCCGGAGGCTCTGGGTGTCACTCGGGGACCTTTTTCCCCCAGACCTCCCCAGGGAGCCCCCGTGGAGCCCCTGCGTGCCCCACCCGTGGCTGCCCCGCACGGTTCATGACTCCTTTTGTATAACCTGGTAGAAGCTGTACCCGGGCAGTGGCGGCACCGCCCGGCCCGGCCCTGCCCTTCCATATTAAAAATTTCTCACAGAACCGAGGTTTCCTTGTGGGTTTTTGTGCCGCTTCTCTCCGCGTGACGTCACGCTGGGCAGTGGCAGGAGTGACGTCACTGCCACCGCCCGCAGGAAGTGACTAGGCGCGCCCGCGGGGAGCCAATCGCAGCGCCGCTTACACCCGGGAGGAGGGCGCGCCCCAATCGCATCGCCGCTTACACCCGGGAGGGGGCCGCCCGCCAATGGCGCGCCGGCTCCGCGCGCTCCCCGCCTGGCTCGGCCAATGGGCGCCAGGGGGGCGGGGCGGGGGCGGGGCCCGAGCCCGCGAACATGGCGAAGACCTACGACTACCTGTTCAAGCTGCTGCTGATCGGGGACTCGGGCGTGGGCAAGACCTGCGCGCTCTTCCGCTTCTCCGAGGACGCCTTCAACGCCACCTTCATCTCCACCATCGGTGAGCCCGCGCACAGGCGCTCATGGGGGTTGGCTGCGGCCGCCGCGGCTCCGAGCCCGGGGGGGCGGGTTCGCTCATCCCGGGGGGACTCCGGGAGGGGTCCGTGAGGGGCTGCTCCCCCCGACCCTGGAACCTGCGCCCGACCCTGGAACCTGCGCCCGGCCCTGGAACCTGCGCCTGGTCCCGCAGCCCCGACCCCGCAGCCCCCCGCTGGTCCCCCAGTCTCGCAGCCCCGGCCCGGTCCCGCAGCCCCTGACCCGCCCTCACAGCCCCGGCCCCGACCGGCCCCGCAGCCCCCCGGGATCCGGCGCGGGGGGAGCTCTGAGGACGTGAAACTGGAACAGTGCAATCGAAGGGCAGAGCGCTGGTTTGGTCTTCCCGCAGGAGCTGTGAGTGATTTCGTTGCTTCTCCTTTTCAGGTATTGACTTTAAAATTAGGACGATAGAGCTCGATGGCAAGAGAATCAAACTGCAGATCTGGTGAGGCTCCTGTGCCGCGGGGGGTGTCCGGTCACCGGGGCTGTGCGTGGGGACGGCAGTGTGTTGGTTTTATTCCAGTTGTGCTGTTCAGTAGTTTACGGTATCTTAGAAGCTAAAACTCAGTCCTAGTGCTCCTAAAGGCTGGTTCGAGTTAAATTCTTTAACTCGTGGGTGGTGTTATCTCGAGTCAGTGCTGCGGGTGGTGTGTAAGCCCCGTGTCCTGTCTGTTCCAGGGACACGGCCGGGCAGGAGCGATTCCGGACCATCACCACCGCCTACTACAGGGGAGCCATGGTAGGAGCAATCCTGGGATCTGGGCTGGGATAAACCCACCTGGGAGGGTCGGGGCAGCTGGGTCTGAGGTGGGACAGGCACAACTGACCTTCTGTGCCAGGCTGGACCCTGAGCTGTGCTCCTGCTCTTGGCCGTGCTGGGCTGACATGGGACTTTGTAGAGGGACCTTTCCCCATGTTCCACTCTATAAATACACATCCTGCACCCCTTATCTCACTGCCATTAACTCTGAACCAACTGTGTTAAAAATAGTCCCTGTTAAGTTGCTCATCTCTGCTACAGATGAGCCTTTAACTCTTGCTGAAACAATCTTTCTCCTTCTGACCTTCAGGGCATCATGTTAGTGTACGACATCACCAACGAAAAGTCTTTTGAAAATATTCGGAACTGGGTCAGGAATATTGAAGAGGTAATTTCTCTACTTGCTGACTGTTAAAGGTGCTGTTTCCCCCTCTAAAAGTCATTGAAGCTTAATTGCTTCAGAAGTGTTATCTTTCTTGTGCTGGAGGGTACTTGGAAAATAAACAGGATGGAAATCAGTAACATTTGATGTTCCGTCCATGGGATGGAAGTCGGTAACACACTGACTTGGCTGACAGTGATTTGTTGTGGGGGCTGTTGTGTTGCCTGTTGTGTGATTTGTTGTGTTGCCACTGTACTTCGGAGGGCACCAAATGTGATGGTTTCCTGCCACGACAAGCGATCTGAGAGCTGCCGTGGTGCTGGGATGAGGGGTTGGGGGAGCCTGGAAATGTGCAGGAGGTGCTCAGCCCCAGCATCTCCATGTTGGGCACTTGAGTGGTGCCTCCTGTGCCTGCCAGTGTCGAGGTACAAAAGCCAAGCCCAGTGTCTGCTCTCTCTGTCCCAGCACGCGTCTCCAGACGTTGAAAAAATGATCCTGGGCAACAAATGTGATGCAAACGACAAAAGACAAGTTTCCAGAGAGCAAGGGGAGAAGGTGAGTGCTCTGGGGCTTTGATGGATCTCAGTTTAGGCTTTTCAAAGTCTAAAAACTGCTTTGATTATTGTCAGCGTGGCACCACCTAAGTGGAATGATTAAATGTTCTCCCAGCTGTCAGGGCAATACATCTCCCCACTGGGATGAAAAGCTGAGCCTGTGTTAAGGATTCTTGTTGATTATCTGTCAGGTGCAAGGCAACGAGCTGGATTTTTCTAAGAAAAAGGATGTTAGAGTTTGACATTGAGAAAATGTCTCTTTTTGGCTGAAAGCCACTGAGACCAGGTGGATGGGATGGTCTTTTCTGGTGTTAGTCAAGGCAGGGAAGGTGCATCTGCACTGCAGGTGTTACAAGGTGTCAGTGCAAGAAGAAAAATAAAAGAAGAAGGAGCAGATTAAAACATGTGCAGGCTGTGAAAGAGCAGAGCAAAGCTGGTGAGAACAGAGGCCAGCAGCAGTGAGATTTAGTTCCTAATTGTTGCAAGTTGTTGTGTGTGAGTAAATCCCCAACTCCGGTGGCTCGTGGCAGGAGGGGCAGAGCCTGTGCCCGGGGGTGTGTTTGGAGCTGCTCCTGCAATTGTTCAACTCATGTGAAATCTGCTTTTGTTCAGCTCGCTGCAAGCTTTGGGATTAAATTCATGGAGACCAGTGCAAAAGCAAATATAAACATAGAGAATGTAAGTACAGACCCCTTCCTCTGATTTTTATTGTCTTGTTTGTGCAGACAGACAGCAAGGACAGGTACCTGTCCATTGCTGGGTACAGAGGGTGGGTTGTTAAACACATTTCCCTGCCTTCCATTAAGGTGTTGTTTAACTAACATTATGCTGATTTATGTAAATGGAACTTAGTGCTTAGGACACCACAGGGGTGTTACAGCAAAGGGCATCAGGGCAGCACAAGGGAGAACTCAGCTCATGTCTTTGTACTCAAGAACAGGATTGATAAAGGACGTTTTCCCACTGCACAAACCCTGGGTGGGGCTTTTGGGCTCAAAAAGGAGGTTGTGGTTGTAGAGAAGAAGCATTAAAACCTGGAGCAGGGGGAGAAAACCTGAAAATTTGATGTTCTTGAGTTTGGTGTATGTAGAAACTCAGCTTATTGCTAAACAATGAAGTATATTGAGTTGAAGTATATTTGTTATTTAATTTATTTGTTAGGGTATATTTTATTTCCCCTGTAACACTGAACTGTTTGACTTGTCACAGGCGTTTTTCACTCTTGCAAGAGACATCAAAGCAAAAATGGACAAGAAGTTGGTGAGTAACTTATTTTGTCCATGCTGGATTTAAATAGGAAAAGAAAAAACCAACAACCAACCAAAAGCCACATTGCAAGAACTTTTCACAGTGTATAAAAATTGTATCATGGTCTCTTTCATAAGGGATCACTGAAATATTCTAGGAATGTCATTTTAGATCTGTCAAGCTGTGCTCTGACCTTGACTTGGAAACAACTGTCTCTGCATTTCAGGAATTAGCTGAGGTTTTCTAAATAAAATGATTTATTTGTTTTATTAAAAGTCACGTGGGGGGTAGAGCAGTTTAATGATACTTCTCACTCTTGCAGCCTGAAAATCATATAAATCATAAAGATAGAGGAGGCAGGGTAGAAGATTTAGACTGTTTCAGAATAGGTATAGAACTAATGTTTTTGGATAATCTTTGCAGAAGCATCCTGAGCAATGACTGGGTTATCTTTTTACAACAAATAAATACATGTTGGTTTGTTCCTTTTGAAGTATGAAATGAAGCTGATGGGGGGTTCCTTCTGCTCTTACTGAGCTTTCCACCCTCGTGTGTTCACACGTGAATTGATTGACCTGAGATATTTTGGGTCTTGCTGACCATTCATAAGTGTTTCAGCAAGAGCCAGACATGCCCTTTAATTTATTATCTTTTAATCTCAGCTGTCTTTGAGTTAATATAAAGAAGAAATACAGGTGCAGTGTGAGCTATTAAAGCTATAAAAGCTGCAGATGCAGCTCTAGAAATTTTTGTCGTGCCTGGTTTAAGGCTGAGAAATGAGTGAAGCCTCCTGTTGATTTTAGGGAAGGTTTTTGTGTACGTCAGGCTTGGCTCAGGAGAATGACCAGGTGAAATATGGATGGGAGAAGCTGTGAAGTGTAAATGAGTAACTGAATATTCTTTGCCTCTTCAGGAAGGCAATAGCCCACAAGGCAGCAACCAGGGAGTCAAAATCACACCAGACCAGCAAAAGAAAAGCAGCTTTTTCCGATGTGTTCTTCTGTGAGGGACACGGCCTTAACCTGAGCTGGACTGTGCCTGTGCTGAGTGAGGTTTCCTCTGTCTGTGGACTTAGTGCTCCCAACAAACCTTGTCTGGTCACAACAAACTCTGTGACCATCTGAATAAGAAATGGTTTATTTTGGTAATCGTTTGACTCTTCAATTTTGGAGATGAAACAAGTTTATTTTTGTCAGGTCGCCGCTGGGCACGTGCTGTGTAGCAGAGGGGGAACAGATCTCACGTGACCTGGGGATGCAGCACCTTTGCTGACAGACTTCAACCTTTGTGTCCATAACTGTCATGTATCCAGTGGAGAAGGATGAAGTTATGATCCAAACAAGACCCAGAAATGCCCATGTTAATAAAGTGCACATGGTACATGTGCATATCCAGTCTGGAGCTGCACACAGTGGCATCAGACCATCCCAGGAATGCCCCGAGGGGAGCAGTGCAGGCTGGGGCTTTCTCAGGAGGTAGGAGGGAGCTTTCTGCAGCTCCACCTCTTTGCTACTGCAGAGAAGCTCCTTTGCCTGTCACTTACTCAGTTGTGTTACTCTTGACAATCCACAAGTACAATTGATGTTTAAAAAAAATTCTCCTCGAAG